AGGGGGGAGGGAAAAGCCAGTGCGGCTGGAGAGTGCCGAGCGCCTGGCCGAGGCGGTGCGGGAGCGGCAGCAGTATGCCTGGCTGTGCAGCCAGCTGCGCCGCAAGGCCGGGCTGGGGAGTGTGTCTCTGGACTTGTGTGATGGGGACACGGGCGAGCCACGCTACACCCTCCACGTGGTGGACAGCCCCACTGTGAAACCATCGCGGGACAATCATTTTGCCATTTTCATCAGTGAGTTGGGCTTGCTCCCTCTCTTCTGGAGGGGCTGGGGCTGGGGCTGGGGCTTGGGCTTTGGTGGATGGGTCTGCCTTGGCTGTTTGTATCTTGCAAGGGGTGGTATTTCTGGAGGGTTGGACTAGCCAAGGCATGATGAAGGGGGAGTGATAGCTCTCCAGCATCCTGCTTGGATTTGAGGCTTTTTCCTTCCCATTTTCCACTGTTAGTTGATGCAATGGGAGAATGCTGTTGGTTGGGAGGAAAAAGAATAGAAAGAAATGTGGGCAGATCACACATTGCATAGAGATAGTAGATACTTTGTAGCATTTTGTAGTTACTCTGTAGTAAAAGCGGGAGGCTTCACTCACTGGCCTATAACTCTCTGGCCTGAGGTGTGGGTTCCTATTGTAACTTTTATAGTCTGTAAACTGGGGTCCTTGAGGAAATGACTGTGTTGCTGTGCAAGATTTAGAGGCAGTATAGGGTAGCAGCTAAAAAATTGAGTGCAGGAACCAACTATTTGAGGTCCAGGCAAATTACGTGACAATTGGACAAGTTACTTTCTTTGTATGCTTGTCTGTATAATGAGATTGTAACTCTCTTGTGTGTAGTTGTAAGTGTGAAAGATCTTAGAAACCGTGCCTGACATGTGAGAAATGCCTTATAAATGCAAGCCATCATTGTTGAAAGGGGTAAATGATACCAGATTCACCGTAGTAAGGATCTGAAGACATAGTATGAGGAAATGCTTTCAAATGTAGATAATTCTAGACAAATGGAGAGTGTTACAGTCATGCTAGTAATTTGTTTCCTGAGGATGGAACTGTTTTTCCAGCTAGTCCATGACCCTGTCTATCTGTGGGAATGAACGATGCAGTGGAGTCTGGGCTAGACTGCCCAGATTGAGTGCTAGCCTCACCAGTTACAAACTATCAGCTTGGGCAGATAATTTAGCTCCCACAGTTTATTTTCTTATTTGTGAAAATGGGAATAATAATGATACTGACCTGCAGCTTAGGCTATTGTGAGGATCCGGTTGGTTTGTATTTGTAAACTGCTTGGCATTATGCCCAGTGGGTACTGGGCATTGGTATTGTTGCTGTTATTCTTGCACTAGGCTCCTGCCCTCCTGGGACTTGCCCACACATGGTATCCACCCTGGGTCCTGCCTCGTGTCTGGCACTGCTTTGCACTAGGTAGTCAATAGCCACTCAGGAACCAGAGTTGGGAAGGGTCCTGGTCTTGGGCAGGGGCTGGCTTTCTGCCACATAGGCCATCTTGGGTATGGGATAGAACACCCTTCCCATGGCTTCCTGTAACCAAGTCCCTCTTTCTAGTTCCCCAGGGCCGGGAGACAGAGTGGCTCTTTGGCATGGAGGAGGGCCGGAAGCAGCTGGCGGCCAGTGCTGGCTTCAGAAGGCTGATCACAGTGGCCCTTCACCGAGGCCAGCAGTATGAAGGCATGGACAGTGTTCAGGCAGAGCTGTCGGCCAGAGTCATGGAGCTGGCCCCAGCCGGGATGCCCACCCAGCAGCAGGTACTGTCCTCTGACGTCCTTCGCCGCCAGGAAGGGAGGGGGAGCCTTGGAAGGAGCTTGGGCTGGAGTCTGACCTGCTGTGATCCTGCAGGGCGTCAGCAGCTAGGAGGTAACCAGGCAGAAACGCCTTTCCTCACCCAGGCAGTGAGAGGATGGGGAGCAGTTGCCTGTAGTAAGAACCACCGCATCATCTGTAATGGGGGGCCTCGCGGACCCCACCAAGACCGTGTGTAGGAAATACCAAGCACCTCACAGGCTCCGGCTCTTCACTGTTGTCATCTCCCCGATTACATTTCTTCTCTCTGTTGAGAGGGGCTTCCTCGGCTGTTCCACTTCTCAGAACTTCTCTGAGGGTATCCGTGGGCCGAAACAGCTGAGCACAGTTTTCAGGATATTAGCATTCTGGGGGAGAAACTGCAGGCTTTTGCCTAAATGGCGATAGAGTATTATCAGTTGACACCACCTGGCTCATGCCCTCCTGGCCGCTGTGAGTAACTGACAAGTGACTTTATTTTAAGAACTTGAGGGTTTTATTCTTATGGAAAGATGGAAGAGCCAAGGCACCTAGAGGCATGACACAGTCGTAAACAGATCTGAAAAAGACGCCAGGCTCCAGAGCTTCTGCCTGTCTTCCTGCCCTGTAGGCTGACCAGTATCTACAGGTTCTTCCTGGAAAGCCTTGGGATCGCTGTCCATCAGAGACTGGTGTCCGTCATTAGTTCAGCGAGGCCCAGATCCTCGGGGGAGCTTTATTTCTGACCTCCTTTCTCCTGTGCCTGCGCCTGCCCAGAGTCCGTACTCGTGATGAACTACTTCGATAGGTCTTTAAAGAATGGAAGCATTTAGAGGGAAGATAGTTTTTTTTTTTTTTTTCCCCTTAGCCAGCAAGTGGTGTGGTGGTTAAGGCACTGGATCCCACATGGCTGGTTCGAGCCTCGGCCCTGGCAGCCTGAAGAACACACCCAGGTGCATGTGCACGTCAGCCAAAATCCTGAGAGGAGAGTGGAGGAAAAGGGATTGTGGTGTGGCCATCCCCCCAGAGGGTGATTTCTTACTTCTCCCCTCTTTCTCTCTTCCAGTGAGTACTCATGCCCTATGAAAAAAATCTAAAGAAAAAAAAGAAAAAGGAAATGAAAAACGAGAGAAAAGCTAAGAATAACTGGGAGAAGGGAGAAATGTTTTCAAATTTGGAGAGGTGGTTTTTCTCTGAATTTGTCTGTTTGACTACAGACTCTTCCTACGGTTCCATCCTACTTTTGCTATCCTGGACTACTGGTTAGGCATTACTAATGACCCCCCCCCCTTTTTTTTTGGAGAGGTTTTCGCTATAGGGCGGGTGCACGCACCCCAGACAGACAGAGAGAGACATAGAGACAGAAAGCGAGAAATCACCCCCCAGGGGGGATGGTCACGCCGCAATCCCTTCTCCTCCATTCTCCTCTCAGGATCTTGGGCACGCATGCACACGCACCCATCGTGAGTTCTGAGCCATTGGATCCGGGACGCGAACTGCGGTTGACTACGTGGGAGTCCAGCGACATAGCCATTATGCTAACTGCTGGTTCCCCCCCCAAAAAAACCCCATTTTTGAAGCGAAGATCCTGCTGCATCTCACTGGTGATTTGGGGGATTTTTGTATGTCCAGTTGATTTTCAAAAGGTGAATTAGATCTTTTGAGATCTATTCAGAGGCCCCAGAAAAGTATTTTAATCGAATGGGAAATCTTCGGAGTTGTTGCTGTCCTGAACCTCGGGCACGGGCAAGGTTTTACACACAAAGGGAGGGATCATCATCTCTCATGTTTCTTACTTGCGCTTGTGTTTCGATCACATCTCTGGCTGTTCCTGCAGGTGCCCTTTCTGTCCGTGGGTGGGGACATCGGGGTCCGCACCGTTCGGCACCGAGACTGCAGCCCATTGAGTGGGGACTACGTCATCGAGGACGTGCAGGGAGACGACAAGCGATCCTTCCGACGGCTCATCTTCCTCAGTAACAGGAACGTGGTGCAGTCAGAAGCCAGGCTGCTGAAGGATGTGCCGCACCGAGGTGAGGTGTGAGCGTGGCAGCAGGACCCAGTGGGCACGGCCAGGGCTCTTGGTTTGGGGTAGTCAGAGAGTCCTGGGAGCCTGGCCGAGGTCTAGGGCGGACCTGGGTCCCTGTGACCAAGGCACGTCTCTCTGCAGTCGCCTTCTCTGACGACGCAGCTCTCTGAGGGTGGTAAGCTCTGTGATGGCATGTGCTCTGGTCTTGAACAAAGCCTGGCTCTGAAGGGGTCAGGAGCAGGGGTGGCAAAGGCAGATAAACGTGATAATCCCTGTGACGCCTTCAAATGTGGAATAGTTGTTTTCCTCTGGATTGTGGGTTTTGGCTTTAAAGGGCATTTGTTTTACAAGTTGTTCCTCACACACTTGTGTATCATTTTAGTAGGCTTCAGTGGGGTAGGCAGTCCGCCCTCCATAGCGTATGTCCATTCTTCTGTTCCCAGGAGAAATACCTGGCATGGATGCATTTACGAGAATGAGGGCTGATTTTGACTCACCGTTTTGGTGGCTGGGAAGTTCAAAGCAAAACCATGGAAGGCAGAACTTTTTTCATAGCAGAGTGTGATCGGTATCGATGTGGCTTTCTCTCTGCTATTCTGGTCGCATTCCCCCTCTGCTTGTAAAGCCACCAGAACTCACAGCCTAATGACCTTTTTTAAAGAGATTTTTGCTGTAGGGCATGTGTGGTTGCTGGAGAGACAGACAGACAGAAAGTGAGAAATCACCCCCCAAGAGGGATGGCCATGCCGCTGTCCCTTCTCTTGGGATTCTGGGTACATACGAACACATGCACGGCATGAGTTTCAAGCCACCAGATCTGGGACTTGAACCATGGCTGATCACATGGGAGTCTGGCACTTTAACCACCATGCCACCTGCTGGTCCCCAGTCTAATGACCTCATCACACCCAAAGACCTCACCCTGGGACCCCATAAGTTAATCAGTTTTTCTCTTGCCATCTTTATAATACAACCCAAGTCCCAACACATGAATTTTGGAGATGTCCAATCACTGCCCATTAAGACCAAATTCTTTTTTTTTTTTTAAGAATTATTTTATTTAACTTTATTTATCTATTTCTTTATTTTAATTTGACCAGAGAGGGACAGAGAGAGAGAAAGAGAGAAAGTAAGCTACCAGGTCCGGGACTTCAACCATGGTCAGCCATGTGGGAGTCCAGCGCCCTTAAGCACCACCTGCCGGTCCCAAACTCTAAATCATGGATCTATGGGGAACAAACCTCATCTAAACCATATCAGTATTGTCACCGTTGCAGACTTAGAGTTGCTGAGTGCCTTGAAGGTCATCTCAGCCAGTGCCAAGAACTCCCGTGATGAAGGAAATATTAAATATCTGGACTGTGTGAGAGGGTAGCTATAGCCACGTGTGGGCTGAGTTTTACACCTTACTTTATCCTTACTAACTTACATTTAAATGATCAGAGCTGGCTAGTGGCTACAGTGCTGGATAATATAGACCTAGACCAGCTCCCTAGGGGCTGTGTTTTTATTTTTAATTTTCTTTTTAAGAGAGATTTTTGCTATAGGGCACATGTGCTCACCAGAGAGACAAAGTGAGGGACTACCCCCTGGGGGGATGACCATCCCTCAGTCTCTCCTCCATTCTGGGTACTTACACACATGCACCTGGTGTGAATTTTACACCACTGGGTCTGGGACTTGAACTCTGGTCGACTATGTGGGAGTCTAGCAGCATAATTATTATGCCACCTGCTGGTCCTAGGGTCCCTTTTAAGTGATCTCCTTGGTGTCCCTCAGAAACTCCCCCTGGTAGGAGAACGGGGCTTGTTTCACTGATTTCATTCCCTGGATGGCATGTCTGTACTGTAGAAGTCCTCCTGCACCTTGTAGTCAGCACAGAAGTCCCGTGTGTCGTCAGCGACTCCTGCCCTCCCCTTCTCCAGCGCAGCTCCCCTTTGAGGCACAGAGGTTCATGGATGGAACCTGAAATGGGGTCTTCAGAGTCCCAGCCTTTGCCGGATACTGCCCTCGCAGCAAGGCCACCTGGAAGGCGGGTGGAGAGAGGATTCAGACTCCTGAGGTCAGGGATTTCCCTGAGCCCAGGGCCGAGGGGACTCTTGGTACGGTGGTTTTTTTCGTTGAGTGTTTCCTAGCCAAGTGCATCCTTGATTGGTGGTCTCCTGCCCTGTCATTTGTCACTCTGACTGTGGGCTGGTCCAGTTCCATCTCAGGCCTTTTCACCACTTTGTCAAGTTCCTTGCCTTCCAGGTAGGACTTTCTTCTTGTGGGAAGAATGTTCTCCCTCGTGGGAGAATTGGCCAGCAAGAGGGAGAGTCTCTGAAAAAGTTATCGGACATCTCTTAAAAGCATCCTGTCACTGCACACCAGAACCTGGTGCTGCTGTGGGTTGAGCTCATCCTGAAGAAAGGACAGAACATCCATTTCATGTGACATCCTGGAGCTGGCAGGGGGATATAGAGCGGTCTTTTGGTAGGGTCTTTCTGCTTCTGTGAACACACGTGACCAGCTTGTTCAACAGTGTGGTGTGTGCTACTGTCTGTGCCGTACAGCAGAAAGGTGACAGTGCCAGAGACAGGTGGTCCTAGGTCCAAGTCCTGTCCGTACCATCTGCTGATTTTGTGCCTATTCACTTAACTCTTCAGAGCCTTCGTTTTTCCATCTGCCAGGAACTGAAAGGATAAGAGCAAGTCAGAGTCCTAGTACAGCAATTGGCTGAAGGAGGTGATGAATCACTTTATGTCCTCTCCCTAAAGAATTTATGAGTAAGCTTTTCTCGTGTCAGTGACCTTAATTTCTCTGAGGGGAGCTAGTAGGACCCTCAGTTGCATTGTTCCAGGTTTCTGCATGTACTTTTGCCACTTTCTTTTCCAGCTCCTTGGTGTCTAGTGTGTAAGTTAAATGTCTCATGAAGGCAGAGGGAGACCATGATGCATCATGGTGTTGGCCAATTTCTGTGGTATAATTACTCCCACCATGGCTGAGTGCATGCTGTAAGTATCAACATGTTGTCACCCATGCTGCAGAAAACCTGCGAGTTTAACAGCTGGTTCTTTGATTATCTTTAAGTAGCCGTGGCATGCTGCTGCCACATCCCTCGCTTTCCAGCCACCAGTGCACTAAGCACAGGACTTCCTCCATCTGTGTGTCTCATTTAGCCCAGAAGAAGCGGAAAAAGGACAGGAAGAAGCAGCGGTCTGCTGATAGCCCCGAGGACCTTCCCACGGCCCCAGGACAGTCCATTGATAAAAGTTACCTGTGCTGCGAACACCATAAAGCTATGATCGCGGGCCTTGCCCTGCTGAGAAACCCGGAGCTGCTCCTAGGTGAGAGAGATGCATAGCCTTCCGGGGTGGGGAGTGTGTAAGTGAAAGAAGTGATCATCCCTGCCAGCCGCTTGTGGTTGGAAAACAATGATAGCAAACAGGGAAGGCAAGTGTGTATCACTTACGCTTTTCTTCACTCTCGCCATCTTCTACGTTAATATGCATCCAAGTAACTTCTGCCTCAAACTCAGTTTGTAGTCTCGAAATTTGTGTTGGCATGTGTTAGTATGTAAATTTTGTTTCCTTTATTCATTTCTTTCTAATAGTAAGGTATGCAGTGTATTCAATGAGACATGTAAAGTACACTGATTTTTTTTTTTTTTTGAGAGGTTTTTGCTATAGGGCGTGTGCACTTACCCGAAAGACAAAGAGAGACAGAGAGACAGAAAGCGAGAAATCACCCTCCAGGAGGGATGGCCACGCCACAGTCTCTTCTCCTCCATTCTCCTCTTGGGATCTTGGGCATGCACGCACATGCTCCTGGCGTGAGTTTAAGCCACTGGGTCCAAGACTCGAACTGCGGTCGACTACATGGGAGTTCAGCGACAGAGCCATTACACTAACTGCTGGTCCCAGTACACTGATTTTTATGTTGTTCCTTTCGCTCAAGTTTTGTATGTGTTCATACCTGTGCGACTAGTTGGTAGTTTAAAATCATGTCTCCAGTGCATTTGACCTTGAGGAGAATTTCTGACAGCATGCTATTTCTACCTTGAATTTCTACTAAGAAAAAAAATCCATGTTATATTGGGTCATCAGAAAAGTCATGATGGGCATCAGCAGTTAGCGTAATGGCTATGTCGCTGGACTCCCACGTAGCTGACCACGGTTTGCGTCCTGGACCCGGTGGCTTAAACTCACGCTGGGCGCGTGTGCATGCGTGCCCAAGATCCTGAGAGGAGAATGGAGGAGAAGGGATTGTGGTGTGGCCATCTCCCTTGGGGGGTGATTTCTCGCTTTCTATCTCTCTGTCTCTTTCTGTCTGTCTGGCGAGCGCACACGCCCTATAGCAAAAACCTTTCCAAAAAAAAAAAAAGGAAAAAACAAGAAAAAAGAAAAGTCATGATGTAATTTTGCATGGAAAAACATAGAAAAATACATCATGACTTTTGATCACCCAATAGTGCAATCATAACCTTATCACCAGTAACAGTTCTGGATCTGACCACATTAGCAAAAATGTGCCTGTTTCTGTCTGTAACTGTCACTGTCTCCACCCAAGATCTCTTAGAGAACTTTTCTTGAAGCACCTTGTAACTTCTGGCCTGCCTTGGTGTTGACTGTGTTCATAGTCTCAGTTCTTTTTTTTTCCTTTGGAGAGGTTTTTTCGCTATAAAGCGCGTGCGCTCGCCAGCCAGACAGAGAGAGACATAGAGACAGAAAGCGAGAAATCACCCCCCAGAGGGGATGGCCACGCCGCAATCCCTTCTCCTCCATTCTCCTCTTGGGATCTTGGGCATGCACGCACACGTGCCCGGCGTGAGTTTTAAGCAACTGGGACTCAAACCGCGGTTGACTACTTGCGAGTCCAGCGACATAGCCATTACGCTAACTGCTGGTTCCCAGTAGTCTCAGTTCTTAAGTCAAACCATCAGGGTCCGTTTCCCTTTTGTTTTTTTGACCCTGGATAGTTTCTCTGTTGCATTTCTCCATCTCTCCATTTCTCTCTTTCTCTCTCTCTCTTTCTTTCATTTTGATCAGTGAGGGGACAAAGTAAGAGAGAAAGAGAGACAAAGTGAGAAAGCAAGCCACCAGGTCTGGGACTCGAACGACGGTCAGCCATGTGGGAGTCCAGTGCCCTTAACCACAGTGCCACCTGCCAGCCCCCATTTCTCTCCATTCTAACATGTATGCTGAGGTCTCCTGATGCCATGCCACTGAGGGCTTTGGGATCTCTAAGGGGCTGTAGCATCAATGTCCTGGTTCATCTGCCTCTAGTCATTGGAGCCAGGGTTGAGGTGTCAGAAATTAAATTGCCTCCTAAATTTCTGGACTGAGACAGTCAGGCCAAGTCTTTCAATCTTGTGTCCCCTGGCAATCTGACTTCCTTTTTTGCCCTCTCTGAGCCTGTACAAAACTTCTCATTGCGCCGATGGTGAAGTGATGCGCTCTTCTTTTCTCACAGAGACCCCATTGGCCTTGCTGGTGGTGGGCCTAGGCGGGGGCAGCCTCCCCCTCTTTGTCCACGATCATTTCCCAGCATCCTGCATCGAGGCTGTGGAGATCGACCCCTCCATGTTGGAAGTGGCAACCCAGTGGTTCGGCTTCTCCCAGAGCGAGCGGATGAAGGTGCACATTGCGGACGGCCTGGACTACATTACCAGCCTGGCAGGGGGAGGAGAAGGTACTGCTGCTGGAGCGTCGGGAGGTATGAGGGAAGCCCTAGCCAAGGTGGTCAGGCCTGCAGGGCCCTGGCATTCACTCTGATGATGTTAGCATCATCAGGCTTTCACCTGCTCATTTGTTTTTTTCCTTTTTTGGAGAGGTTTTTTGCTATAGGGCGCGTGTGCTCGCCACACAGACAGAGAGAGACTGAGAAACAGAAAGCGAGAAATCACCCCCCCCCAGGGAGGATGGCCACACCGCAATCCCTTCTCCTCCTTTCTCCTCTCGGGATCTTGGGCACGCATGCACACGCACCCGGTGTGAGATTTAAGCCACTGGGTCCGGGACGCGAACCGCAGTTGACTACATGGGCGTCCAGCAACATAGCCATTACGCTAACCGCTGGTCCCATCACCTGTTCATTTGTTAATCTCACTCTTCAGAAACTGTCCAGGCTCATCTACCTGCAGGCACTGTGCGAGGTGCGGGGCATAGCAGCAGACTTTCCTGCCCTTATAGCACCGACAGGCCCTGTGACCTGGCCGCTTCACCATCTCAAGAACCTGAAGGCTAGCTGCATGTAGAAAAAGATAAGAAAGGCTGAGGTGTGAGCTGGGTGATAGCTCTTGCAAATCCATCAGCTAGGGGTGAGGCCAGAAATAGAGCAAAACAGCACTTGTGTAGATCTGTGGTTCATAGCCTCGGGCCGTTTGGCAAAGTCCATAGACCATTTGGGTGTCCCATTGCAGGGGTTGGTGGGGGAAGGGACGTTGTTGTTGGTGTTAGTGGGTGGAGGCCCAGGGTGCTATGGAGTATGCCTTAACATGCAGGACAGCCCTGTTGACAGTTGTTTGGCCCAGGGTGTCAGCAGTACTAGGTTGATTCCCTGAGGCAGGTACTGCTCTATAGAAGTATTGATAATCCTTCTTCCCCAGGGGCTTGGATTCCATTCTGCACCCAGAATTTGTGGCCCAGACATTTTCAGTAGACTATGAGAGATGGTAGCTCTCCTCATCCTCCTGTTGCTGTGCATGTGAAGGGACTTCAAAAAGTTCATGTAGGGAACCAGCAGTTAGCGTAATGGCTATGTCGCTGGACTCCCACGTAGTCGACCGCGGTTCGTGTCCCGGACCCGGTGGCTTAAAACTCACGCCGGGCGCGTGTGCGTGCGTGCCCAAGATCCCGAGAGGAGAATGGAGGAGAAGGGATTGCGGCGTGACCATCCCCCCTGGGGGGTGATTTCTCGCTTTCTGTCTCTCTGTCTCTTTCTGTCTGTCTGGCGAGCGCACGCGCCCTACAGTGAAAATCTCTCAAAAAAAAAAAAAAAAAAAAGTTCATGTAAAGAGGAAACAGGTAGCATGGTTAAGAGGCTGGATCCCACATGGCTGGGTTTGTGGTTTGAGTCTTAGACCCGGTAGCTTGACAGTCACACTGGGCATGTGTGTGTATTTGCCCAAGATCTTGAAAAGAGAGTAGAGAAGGGGTTGCCGCATGGTCATCTCCCCAGGGGCTGATTTCTCACTTTCCCTCTCTGTCTCTGGTGAGCACACATGGCCTATACCAAAAACTACAAAAAAATAATAATAAAGTTCATGGGAAAATGGAATTAAAGTATGAGGTTTTTTTTTGGTGTCCCCCCCCCCAAAAAAAAGAAAAATCCATGCACTATTTTCATAATATACAATTTCAGTGAATTTTTTGGAAACCTCTTGCAGAGACTCCTGGTTTCCTTGATATCCTCTAGACCTTGAGTTCCTTGGGGAGAAACCAGTTGGACTCACTGCTCCTGAGGATTCAGGTCACCCTTCCCGGGTTGGTTCGTCCTATGACAGAACTAGGAGTTTCTGGGAAACTCTCTGGATTAGATGTCTTCCGTGAGGGTGAGCCCAGCCAGGGTTCCTTGGGGGGGGGGGGCGGTGCATATTCTGCTAATGGCATGATTAGGTCATGCTTTAGTTTTAATTGCAAACTGAACTTAACCAGACCAGAGTTTCCCAGATTCCCTCTCTGAGGCCAGGCTGATTTGGGGGCCCAGCCTAAGGGGGCTGACACGTGTGAAGCATCTAGTATGCTAGGCATGTGGTCGGTCCTAGTCCTGACGGTGCTGCTGTTACCCGTAGGTCAGTTGGACGAGCTCTGCCCTCTTCTCTAACTCCTTACCTTTGCATATTATTGGAGGGCTCAAGGCTGCCAATGTGGCCATTGTTCCCTTGGATTTGATAAGTTAACTTGTTCTCTTTCTAAAAAATCAAAAGCAAAGGTGTATTGTGAACACCAGTAGTCATCCCAATGCAATACTGATTCATTACTGAATAATTATTTTCACAGCCTCAGAACTGGCTAAGAACATGTCAGAGGCATTGCAGATTCACCGTTTATAAAGACAACTGGCCCCTGTAGTAAGGAGCAGACCCAATTCTCTGTCAGCAGTTTCCTCACTCATTGAGCAAAATTGTCTCTTGTTTTGAACCAGCTATTGTTCATGTAACTAAAAGGATTTGCTGATTTAAGTTGCAGAACATTTTCTGTAGAGGCAACACTGGGCTTAAGTTACAGTTGCCATTCGCTGGGTCAGACTGTGAAGGCCAAGACAGTGTCTTTACCAAATCAGTGGTTCTTTTTTTTTTTTTTTTTTGAGAGAGAGTGGTTTTGCTATAGGGCGTGTGTGTTCGCCAGACAGAGAGAGACAGAGAGATAGAAAGCAAGAAATCACCCCCCAGAGGGGATAGCCGCCTGGTGTGAGTTTAAACCTCCGGGTCCGGGACTCGAACCGCGGTCAACTACGTGGGCGTCCAGCGACATAACCATTACGCTAACTGCTGGTCCCCCAAATCAGTGGTTCTTAACCCTGTCTGCTGAATGGCCTGGGATGGGCCAGCCATTAACCTGTGGTGGTGAATGTGGCTGGATCCCACGTGGCTGACGGCATGGTGCAAATCCTAGACAAGGCAGCCTGAAAAACCTGCCACCTGCATGTGTTTGCATGCCCTAAATCCCAAGGACACCAGAAGAGAAAGAATTGTGTTATGGTCATCCCCTCTGGGGGGTGCTTTCTCACTTTCTCCATCTCTGTCTGGCGAGTGCACACACTATATGGAAAACTAAAACCATAAAAAATAACAATTATTTTAAAAAGAGGAGGAAAAAAGGAATTACCTGGGAGCTTCCCATGTCCCCTCCTGTGTTCTCCCCACCATCCTGGGGTTTGGACTTAGTGAGTCAGAAGTGGAGCCCAGGTTCTGGAAGCATTTAGAAGCTCCTCAGGGTGATTCTTATGTCCCACCAGGGTTGAAAACTGTTAGTGTAGATGAACTCTTAACCAAGTAATATTCATGCTAGGTGGATCCCATTAATGTGTGGGCCTTCCAAAGGTTTTTGCTTTTTGTTTTTGTTTCCCCCAGAATTAATTATTTATTTAATATTATTATTATTTAAGAAAATTTGTTATAGGGCATGTGCGCTCACCAGAGAGAGGTAGAGAGGGAAAATGAGAAAGGAAGCTGCCAGGACTAGGATTCGAACAGCCGTTTGGCCATTTGGGAGTCCAATGCCCTAACCATCACACTACCTGCTGGCCCCTAGAAGGTGCCTTTAAATGTGGCCTGTCTTTACTCGGATACCGTGACCCCAGTGATGAACATCTGTAGACTAACCAACATCTGTGACTCATGGGCTAACCACATGCTCCGTGTCAATCTTCTGACTTAGCCTCCTGCCCGCCCCGGGTCGCAGAAGACACAGCCCAGGAGTGCGAATGGCGTTAGTTTATCCAGCACATTCAAGGGCTCGTTTGCTTCTCCTTCCCAGATCACCCTCGCTATGATGTTGTAATGTTCGACGTGGACAGTAAGGACCCAACTCTGGGGATGAGTTGTCCACCACCAGCGTTCGTGGACCAGGCTTTCCTGCAGAAGGTCAGAAGCATCTTGTCTCCCGAAGGTATGGAGAAAAAAATGGTTGGAGAGGGAGAAGGGTGGGGCCTTTTAAACAAATCTTATTTTAATTTAATTTTTTTCTGATTTATTGATTGATTTTATTTTTTATTATGCTGGAGGGGATGTGGTGAAAGGGGAACACTCCTATACTGTTGGTGGGAATGTAAATTGGTCCAGCCACTGTGGAGAACGATATGGAGGTTCCTCAAAGACCTTCAAATAGAACTACCATAAGATCCAGCAATTCCTCTCCTGGGTATCTGCCCAAAGGACAGGAGAGCACTCAGTCAGAAAAGCACCTGCACATCTATATTCATTGCAGCCTTATTCATGATTGCAGATCTTACCTTTATAATGAAAAATACACATAAGAGTGTAACTCGATGAGTTTCCTCATTTGAACATACCCATCTACCATCCCCACACAACATTCCCAGCATCCCAGAAATCCACCTCTGAGTCCCTTTCAGTTACTTGTTTTCCTCCTGGGGGTGACGACTACCCTAACTTCTGTCAGCTCAGTTGCTCTTTATACAAGTGGAATCATATGGAATGCACACTGTTTTTCTTTTTTTCAGTTTTTGCTCTTGGGCCCATGGGCTTACCAGGAGGGATGACAACACAGTCCCCTCTCCTCGAGTCTCCTCCTGGGATTTTGGGCACACACATATGCGCATGTGCCCAGTGTGACTTTCAAATTGTCAGGTCCAGGACTTGAACTACTCACTCGGTCCTGTGAGATTCAGTCACCTTGACCTGCACACCACCTGCTGGCCCCATGTTGTTCATTTTTCTTTCTAAAGAATTATTTAATTTTATTTGTTGTTGTTATTTCTTTTTTAACTTGACCAGAGAGAAACAGAGAAAAAGAGAAAGGGAGAAAGTAAAGCCTTGGGTCCAGGACTCAGACTACAGTTGTCCATGTGGGAGTTGAGTGGTTTAACTACCACACCACCTGCAGGCCCCACAATGCTCATTCTTATCGTTGTGTGTTGTCGTACAGCTATTCCACAGTTCATTGATCTCTGCTGTTGGTATTTGTGTTGCTCTGTTTGGGGCTGTTCTAAGAGGTGCTGCCATTTTCTCCCAGTATGTGTCTTTCGGTGCAGTACATTTGCAGGTTTCTTGGAAATAGACATGGGGCTGTGATTGCCTGGTCACAGGTTTTGTGTACGTTCAGCTTTCATAGATGCTGCCACACACTTCTCAGAGTGGTTGTAGCAGCTCCCACTTCCCCAGCATGAGAAGCCTAGCTGCCACTCACGATGCTCACTGCATGCCCTGGACGAGGCACTGTGTTACTTAATCTTCATAGCAGCCCATTTTCAGATGAGGGCACTGAGGGGGAGAGATTTGCCAAAGTGACACAGGTAACACTTGGTCCCAACCCAGGCCCATGCCACTTGAAAGCTGGACCTCTCACACCTGATGTTCACAGGCCACAGGTGTGATTTGGTGTCAGGTACTGTGGCGAATTAGGTTGATTTAGAACTTTAATTGTCAGACATTAAAGTAAAAACCTTGGCTCTCTCATTGGTTAGAAACTACTCTAAGAACATAAACATCCCTGTGGAGTTGGTCAGTTTTCCTTTTTTAGGATATGAAGTACATTTTTCCCAAAGTAATTCTTTGCAAAACAGATGCACGGAGAATGGTAAAATATCCTGCTCACAGCACAGACAAGAGGTAGGGCTGACGATTCCTCTGGTCCCCACCGTCCCCGTGCTTTCCTTTCTGTGTCCCATGTGTCTTCCTCATCTGCTGACCCCACTGGGACAGGAGTCGGAATTGTCCTCAGAGCTGATTCTTGTCTCCAGCATGTCTCCTGATCTTAGTTTCTGGTTCCCTCCTTCCCCCACAGGTGTCTTTATCCTCAACCTCGTGTGCCGAGACGCAGCGTTGAAGGACTCGGTGCTGGCTGGGCTCAAGGCCGTGTTCCCCCTCCTGTATGTCCGGCGCATCGAAGGTGAAGTGAACGAGATTCTGTTCTGCCAGCTGCACCCTGCGCAGAAACGCACCACGCCAGAGCTTCTGGAATTGGCCCGGGCCTTGGAGCAGACCTTGCGGAAGCCTGGGAGGGGTTGGGATGACACATATGTCCTGTCAGACATGCTCGAGACCGTGAGGATTGTGTGATTGCTGAGGCCAGGCAGTCCTCTCTGCTTCTTGCCCATCGGACGTTGAAGAAACACAATACATAGTACTTTAAAAAAAAATTTTTTTTAAAGGTTTTTGCCATAGGGTGCGTGTGCTTGCCAGAGAGAGACAGAGAGACAGTGGGGGTGGGGAGTGAGAAATCACCCCCTGGGGGATGGCCATGCTGCAGTCCCTTCTCCTCTCAGGATTTTGGAAATGCACGAACACGGCCTGAAATTCAAGCTGCCAGGTCTGGGACTCGAACCATGTGTTAACCATGTGGGAGGCCACGTGTTCACCATCACACTGCCTGCTCACCCCAACATGCAGCACTTTTTAAGCCTTATGTTCTCAGTTTCACGCTCAGCTACGTGACCTCCCACTTGGTGAGGTAGCCTGGGAGGTCTGGGGAAATAAAAAAGTCCTTCCCACTGTGCCCTCTCAGCACCACGTGTGTTCCTGGTCTCCGTGCCGTGCTCTTGAGCACGGTTCCCTGCTGGAGCCACAAGCAGGTACTGTGGCCTTCACCAGTGCACGCCAGGGCCGAAGTTAGCCAAACCCAATCGCGTCTTCACTGGTTTGCTTTGGCGTGCTTCCCTGTGGGATCTGGAGGAATGGTCTCATGCGAGGCAGTGGAGCAGGACCTCTGGATGCGAGGCAGATTTGCTGGGATGTCTCCTTTGCCCTCCAGATGGAGCTGCTGCTGAGTGGACCCAGGGTTTAGGACTCTGCTATCCCTTCCACTGATCAGTAGCTTTCCTTGTCTGCCCAGACTTCATAGCTGAAGCCACTTGTGCTCTCCTCATGGAGCGATGTCCTTAGTCGGCCGTGGGACTGTGTGTCAGACCTGCAGACCAGTCTCCGGTAGCTGCTTGCTCACAGGATTTACTGAGTGACAGCTGCATGCCAGACCCATATAAAGAGCTGTGGTCCCAGTGATGATGCATAAGAATGAGAGTAATCCTTTCGAGAGCCATTTCCAGCTCTCTTCTGAGTGGTCTCACGCCATCTCATGTCATCTGTGATGAAGGACAGTCACACTAAAGCGACCTCCAAACCCAGCTCTCACTTGAGCTGGAAGTACTAGTCTCAGTTTCCATGCCGGAAACTGAGACCGGCCTACATTTATTCTGTGTTCTAACTTTCCTCTAACTATGCCAAGGCTGATTGGTGAGCCATCTGGCTTCTCTCTCCACAGGCCTTTAAAGTGGACCCTAGCCTCTTGAGGTGAGGCATATTTCAAAGGTAGGTTGTCATCCTTCCAAAGGAATGTCAGACCATTACGAAGGGGTGTGAGCGTGGAGTGGTGGTTTTAGGTCGTAACCATTGGAAAGACCTGGTGCTCCTCCCGGGGAGGTTCTCTGTTTTTGGAACCATGGAAGAGAAGCTTGTCCCTTTTGTCATGTACCTGCATCCCACAGGGCCTCAGCCTGGCAGATCTTCCGTTTTCTACCTATAATCTCACGCCATGTTGGGATGGGTTGTGCAGGCACAGGGTGTGAGTTGGAGGACGTCATCTGCCTGTCACGTGGTCAGATCACTCTCTCATGCTATCGGAGCTTGGGACAACCCATGGGAGGCATAGTCAAGCCGGGGGATCATCAGGATGAAGAGGTTTTGTCTGTAGTAGGAGGACCAATCCGAGGACTTGGGCATGCTTACAGGTATGTTTGCATGTTTATTTCCTACCTCTAGAGGTGAGAAGAAAGCAAGGCAGGGAAAAGAGTGAATTAGGTATGTCTGCCTTTGAAGACTGGAGAAGCAGGCAGAAGGGACAGTGGGTACTTTCCAGCTTGCTTGCTTGCTTTTGAGATTTTTTACTCTAGGGCACATGTGCTCTCTGGAGAGACAGAAAGCAAGAATTCATCCCCCAGTGGAGGTGGCCATGCCACAATCCCTTCATTTTCCTCTTGGGATTTCAGGCACACGTGTGAGTTTCATGCTGCCGGGTTTGGGATTCGAACTGTGGTCAACCATGTGGGAGTCCAGCACCTTAACCACTATGCCACCTGCTGACCCTTCAGCTTAATTTCTTACAGAGGAAATTTGTACCTATGGGGACAGTACAGCCGTCTTTATCTGTGGGTTCTGCATCTGCAAGTAGAACCAACCTCGATGGAGAATGTTCTGTCATTGCTGATACATGCCGCACAGTTTGTACGAGCCTACAGCGGTTCTGTTTCTGGAATATGTAGATTTTTTTCTTGTCACAGTTCTCTAAAACATACAGTATAATAACTGTCTACATGGCGTGTACATTGTATTAGATATTATAAGTAACCTGGAGATGGTTTAAAGTATATGAGGAGATGTGTGTAGATTATAGGCAAACACCACCATTTGTATCAGGGACTTGAGCATCTGTGGAGTTTAATCTCTGCAGAGGGTCCTTGAACCATTTCCATGAGTTGGAGGGTCATCTGCATGTGCCCCTGAACTGGAGGCTGCAGGCCGTTTCTCAGACCCTGGGTTGTGAAGAAAGGGTTTCCTGTGCACAGACCAAGCAATGGCGTGTATCCCATGTTTCCCACTGAAGGGCTACTGCCTTTGCATTAATGACAGGAAATGGTCTTTATGAGAATTTTGCCTAACTCGTGAGTACGTGAACTGTGGAGAGGGGGAGAGTTGTGACCGTAAATACCTACCAGACCAGGCAAGTGTAAGAAGTGAGCCAGGTGGAAAGCAGCCAGGCCAGGGTGAAGCCTGTGGCAAGCCAGGGAGGAAATGTCCCTTTTACAAGGGGTGGTGATTCCAGCTGATAGCTGTCCTGTAGGAATGTTGTCCCAACGTGGCTAGGTCTTTCCCAGAAGCCAGAGATCGTGTGTGTGTTGATCAGTCACAACACATCTTCAACCCATATTCAGCCTGCGGGCCAGAGGTTGGCATCTTCCATGTCGGGGGTGATCTGTAGAGCACTGAGAATCTGCCACACACCCAGGCTCTGAGCATAAAGCAAGGAGTGAGCCGAGAGGTACGGGTCATTAGTCTGGAAGAGCCTCATCTGTGCTGTATCCTCAGTTTTCTGTAATGTCTGCAGCTGAGTGAGGATAGCCCCGCCATAGTTAGGAGAGGGTAGAATTGAACTTCTCAGGACTATCAGGAAACAATGAGAATAAATGACATAGAGACTCCTTCCCCTCATTTTTCTGCACACTCCCCCCAAATATTATGTAAGCTTTTTTTTTTTTTTAAAGAGGTTTTTGCCATAGGGCGTGTGTGCTCACTGGAGAGAGAGACAGAAACGGTGAGAGGGAAAGTGAGAAATCACCCCCCCAGGGGGGGATGGACTTGTCGCAGTCCCCTCTCCATTCCTCCTGGAATCTTGGGTACATATGCACACGTGCCTGGTGTGATCTTCTAGCCTCCAGGTCTGGGACTTGAACTACAGCCAGCCATGTGGGAGTCCAGTGATGTAACCACTACACCATCTGCTGACCACACAACAGTTTTAAAATTGGTAAGGCTTGGCACTGCCCATGGCTTGGTGGTTAAGGCAGGTGGAGCCCACATGGCTGATTATGAGGTTCCCATCCCAGACCTGGCAGCTTAAAAAACATTCGGCGCATGTGTGTGCACCCCAAAATCCTGAGAGAAGGGATTATGGAGTGGCTGTGCCCCTGGGGAGGTACTTTATCATCACCTCCCAGCCTCCTGCTCTCTGGGAAGCACATGTGTCCTATAACAACAAACAAAAAAAGGACTGATTTGCCCCTTCTCTGCCTCCTCACTCTTCTGCCCTTTTTTGAGCATGTACCTCCTGTTTTCTGTCAGGGCTCAGCTTGCTACCTGGGCGGCTGTTCTAGTCTGTGGGTGGTCCAGTAGTTCTCAGCTGCACACTGGAGTCACCTGACATCATTGGCCAACTGATGGGCCTTCAAAGAGGCGCATGTCCTAATCCTGGCCACCTGTGACTGGCAGCGGGGATTCATGTAGCAGATGGGTTCAATGCTGCTAATTAGCTGTCTTTAAAACGAGGGCCCACAGGCGGGCCCAATGTAATCACATGGTCTTGAAGTGTGGAAGGAGGTAGGAAAGTCTGTCAGAGTGAAGCAAAGTGAGCAAAACTTGATGGGTCATTGCTTCTTTTCACTGAAGTGGAAGGGGGCCATGAGCCGGGAAGTGCAGGCAGCGTCTGCAAGCTGGAAAAGGTAAGAACTGACTCAGCCTTCAGCAGGGAGCGGAGTTCTGCTAACCTTGCTTTTAGCTTAGCGAGACATTTTGGACTACTGAATTATGACAGAATAGTAAATTCATGTGGTCTTAAGCCACTAAGTTTATGGGATCTTCCAGCCTCCCTGGGAAGCTAATGTAGGAAGTTTTAAAAAACACTGAGGCCTGGGCCCCACCCCCAGAGAGCCTGATAGAAGGTCTGGGGTGCAGCCTGTGTGCTGTGATTTTAGAAAGCTTTCCAGGTGCTGCTGTCGTGCAGCCTAGGTTGCAGGCTAGAGGGGCAGAATTCTGTGAGGGGATGCATTATGAGGGAAGGAGGAAAGTCTCGCTGTTCCTGTCTCTGACTGCCTGCTCAGCCACGACATGCCCCACCTCCATGCCAGCCCACACCTGTGCTCTTGGTCCCGTGTGTAGGTGGCCACCTGGGGTGACCTCCATGGAACATGGCTGGGCCCAGAGTGTATGCCCTGCAGCTTGCTTAACGATGCTCAGACCCTAACCCATCAGTAACCCAGTATCTTTGTATAGCTTGCCTTGCCATTTGTTAACAGCCAATAGTTGGAATCGCCGAGCTGGAGGGTTGTGCAGTGGTAAAGCATGTACTTGGAGAGGCAGACCCTCATGGGAAAGTTGCTGGGGAAAGTCCGGAGAACTTGCCGCGCACACTGGGCATGCAGCTGCCCATGATTCAAGCTGCTCGAGGTTGGATCCCCGCTTTGGAACCCGATTATGGGTGCTGTCGCTGTCTCATTCTCTGTCTCTCTCGTGGAAGGAACTATTTTATTTTAAAGAGATGGAACTGCTAGAGTGGATTTTTGTTCATTTTATATTTGGTGGGCATTTTGTGGAGAGGTTTCCAGACCTTGTGCGTGTGCTGAGGAAGCCAAGGAAGTCACAGCCTACTGGCTGGCGGGGACACAGTGGGGTCACCTGACGACTGCATGTGCAGGGGGCGTGAGGGCAGCACAAGTGGTCAGATAATTGCTAAGATTCTTCGTAGAAGCTCATTAGAACAGATCGGAAAGGGTCTAACGTCAGTGAAACCGCCTCTTACCAGTGATGGAAGCTGGACGCCTGCTTTGGTTTTCCAGCTCAGTCTAAGGCGATTTCTGTGCTTCCCAGTAGATGGCACTAGAAATCCCGTCTATACGTGTCTCACACTTCCGTGTGAGTAGCCCTTTCAGGGACCTTTTCACCAGAACCAAAGCTGCTCCTTTCTCTCCTGTGTGGAAACTGGCCCCCCCTTTTCATTCTTCTCTGCGTCAC